GTGATGGTGACCTGTTGGGTCTTCTCAAAGAAATGCCCTCGTAAGGGCTCTGGCATGGCACGATAGAACAAGTTAACTAATTGGGTCTCAGTGACCCCGTGGTCTGGGATGGCTACTAGATCGTCCATAACTGCCTTGAGTGCTCTCGCATGCTTCCACTGTCGTGAGTGGATTGTTTGCAGTTTGTCAGAGGCCCTGACGCCTCGCGTGACGTTAGCAAACCTCTCTCTCAAGAGTTTGAGGAATTTGGGAAGAGGGGGTGAGTTTGGAGTATGCAACCATATTGTTTTCACAATTGGCTGCTAGCGCGAGGGACCTAGCAAAACTAGCCGCTTCGTCTCGTAATGCATGGAAGGCCACGAGGACTTGTTCCTCTGGCGCTATATCTTGCAAGTACACGTATGTGTTGATACTAGCCTCCCAGTTATCAAAGTTTTCGTCCTTTTTCCTGCCATAAGAGCCAGGAAACTTGAGCTTGACAGACTCTTTGTGTGGTCGCCCTTCACTCTCTGCAGTGGCCACTACTTTGGCGCCTTCGATGGCGCCTGCACATAATTTCTCTGCGTTGTCCCTTAACTTTTTGACTTCGGTCCCGACATGAGTCATTACATCGCGCGCGAAGTCCCTGAAACCAGACCGGATGGAGTGGAGGGCCATGTCTTGGCCCCTAGCAGACTGATGGTGCTCGGTCCAGGTCCTGCCTGGGAGCTCGATGCTCCCATGGATCTTGTCTAACTTGGCCTGGACCTTAGAATCCCTAATAGGACCCTGTCAGCTATGGTCTCTAGCCTGGACCTAAACTAAGACTGTCACTACAGGACTTGTTGCTGATCAGGAGGCATTTAAGGAGATCCCCCGTAACTCCTCAGGAATTATTTAACGTCGCAGACACGACGACGCGATCAGCAAGTCCTCTCAAGACTTAGGATAGCCTGTTGTGCAGCCCACAACTCGGATTTTGGGACTACCGTGCCACACCGAGCAGCCCGCCGGTCCGTACCAGTCCTTGGGAGGGTTCGTGTCCTCCGGGACAGTCGAGTCGCTGACACAGCCTTTAGCCCTACTCAGCCCGTGTGGGTTTGGTCAACAATGCTCTATCCTTCATACACGGAGTTCCTATCACCTGGACAGAAGAGACTCGATGCAGAAAGAAGAGACAGACAAACTCAGCACGTACCATAGGGTGAGTGCACATCCATAGGGCGAGGGGATATGCTGAGGGCTTGGCGAGAATATGCCAACTCCTGCTTGGTCAAAGTCACGATCAACAGCCCTGGTCAATGCCTGGGTCAATGCTGGTCAACCTGCCGGTCAATACTCCAGTCAACCTTGGTCAACGTCTTGGTCAACGCCTGAGTCAATACCCAAAACAACTTCGGTCAACCCCCTGGTCAACCTTCAACTCGGCTATGGCTGCCGCCTTCTTCTTCCTCACCACCCTTCTTCTTCTTCCTCCTTTTTTCTCCTTCCTCGCCTGGTTCTTCTTTCACCCCGGCTATATCTTCCCTTTTCTCCTTCGTCGTCCCTCCTTCCGCTTCTTCAGCTATGGCTTCTCTCTTCTCTTTCGTCTCTCCCTCCTCCTTCACTCGTCTTCTTTCTTCTTCCTCCGCGTCTGAGCTCCGCGGCTATGGCCGCCTTCTTCCTTCTTGGACCGCACAACCAATCTTGTAGCACTCCTCTCTCTCTCCCTCCCTCTCTCTCTCTCTCTCTCTCTCTCTCTCTCCACCAGCGCAGCTATGGCGCACTTCGGCTATGGCGCCCAACTTCGGCATACCGCGGACGATGACGGCGCGTGAGATAGCGGGTACCAGCTCCGATACCAATGCAATCAGACTCGCTTTCATTTCCACTTCCCACTCATGCAAACAGATGGCAAGTCACGCTGGCGCACAGAACCCACTCAAAGCTCAGAGGTATGGAAGTCGAAAACACAGTTCAGATACAAGCTCGCTTCAACAGGCTATGGCGCATCAGCGCCTGTACACTTCTCTATCCAACACCACTGTTCACACTCACTCAGCTCCGGATCACCCTGGATATCCCACACGCATACACACTCACACACACTACCACTGACTCACTCGCCTATCAGCTATGGCGGCAATGGCCGCTGTCCCTCACTAGCTGTGGCTAACTATCTCCTTCAGCCCACTTTGTCTTCGGGCACTCTGCAGACCACCTCGCACAAGTCGCTCAAGCAGCGCTTCCGCATGGCTTACGCAGGAATGAATCAATGGCTGGGCGCTGCCTCTTAATTTATACTTCTGTTCGCTGCTGGTCTGCCTCTTTCCACTGGGCCCATGGTGCACACAGTCCCTCATGGTACTTGCTGACCGGACTCTGTGAGACTGGGACTGGGTACCGCTGACTCAGCAAGGGTGGACTTCACCACTTGCCCACTTGCCTCTAGTCTACTGTGAGCAACGTTGGAAGGGCCA